AGAATGGATCAAAACCTAAATCGCAAATATACATTGTCTAGATGAAAACTAAGTATAAAGACACATATAATGACACATATAAATGGCAAGTAAATAGATGGAGGAGAAAAATATGCCATTCTAACACTAATCCAAAGAAAGTGGGATAGCTATATTGTTTTTGACAGAGCAGATTTCAAAGCCAGGAAAGATATTAGGGATAAAGAGGGGCACTATACAATAATAAAAGGATATTTCATGAAAAATAACAATTTTTAATGTATATACATCTGACAATAGAGCATCAAACTATGTAAACAATAGAACGGCAAGGAGAAATGTATTAATCCAATATCATAGTTGGAAACTTCAAATCGTTCTATCAGAAAGAGACAGATCTAGCAGGCCGAAAATTAGTAAGGACATAGTTGAACTTAGTAATATCATCAATCATCGGGATATAATGAAAATCTATAATCTATTTCATCCAATAAAGCAGAATATGCTTTCTTCACTGGCTCACATGGAGCATTCACCTAAACATTTATATTGGGCTATAAAACACATCTTAATAACTTAATAGAAATCATACAATATTGATTTTCAGACAACAATGAGATTGAACTAGAAATCATTATCAGAAAGACAACTGGAAAATTCCAAAATGTGTAAAAATTAAACAATGTGTTTGTAAATAAAATATGAGTTAAACAAGAAATCTCAAAAGAAAAGTAAAAATATTTTGAACTTAAAAATGAAACCACAACTTACCAAAATTTGTGGGATGCAGTCAAACCAGTGCTTAGAGGGACATTTATAGCATTAAGTATATTAGAAAAGAAGAAAGATCTAAAGCAGGAATCTGCAATTTCACCTTTAGGAGACTAGCAGAAAAGAAAATGAGATCTAAAGCAAGCAGAATAAAGGAAATGATAAAAAATTTGCACCAATGATGTTGAAAATAGAAAAGCAATAGAGAAAATTAACATTAAAAGCTAGTTATTTGAAAAATTGATAAAATTAATCTCTTGGCAAAGCTATGAAAAGGAGAGAGAACACAAATTATTAATACTGGAAATAAAAAAAGAACACCATTGCAGATCCCATAAACCTTAAAATAATGATATAATTCTATGACAGATAAATTATTGTAACAATTACTCTGACAGAGAGAGCAAGGAAGGGTGCAGTTAGGACAAGGGCAGCAGCCAGAAACATATACTAGGCAAAAAGAGTCTTATAGGAGATAGCCAGTTCATCCCTTGAATCCTTATGAAATGTCTTGCATGCATTGCTAAAATAGGCCTATTTTTCTTTCTATAGTGCTAACACTGAGAGAGCCAGCCATGATGAAAGTAGAATAATTCAGCAGGAGTTTGAATATGGACTCTGCCACTTTCTCCAGTGCAACCTTAATCCAAACTTCTTTAAATTGCAGTTATATAATCTATAGAATGTGGTTATTAGATAACTTATATCATAGAAATGATAGGATCAAATTAGAGACTGATTTTACAAAAGCATAGCCCCAAACTTGGTGGCATATAGGAAACTTCTCTGGCCGAGCATGAACATTTGTCAGAATTTTTATTCAATAGTTTTCCTATCTGAATCTAACATCAAAATTTGTAAACAGTGAAGTCATATTCAATTTGTGTATTATTTCTAACAGTCCCAGTGCAACTATATGGTTTTCTTTTATTCCTTGTCCCAATGTTGCCCACACATATTGTGCTAAATACAAAGCAGTGATATAAGTTTAAAAATGGGGAGTTATTTGGTATATAATAAAAAACTACTAACTACTTTTTAGAACTAGTTTAGACAATTAGCCAAGGATAAGCATAAAAATTTAACTGTTCTGCAGTGTGTTAATATTTTGTACTTTTAGTAGCAACACTCCTCACATTTCTCTGTTGACAAAGTCACCTAAGACTAACTTAAAATGGGCCTATGAAAATCCATCACCTTTTATTAAGATTTTCTCTTTTATAGTTATTTAATATATTTTCTTAATTATACAAGAAGAATCTTCAATCCTTCTATTCTAAAGGCAGTCAAAAGTGGTGGACGGTTCACAGATTGGCTCAGGCCTCTTGGGAAACATCATTCATTAGTTCAAGAACAGAAGATACATAATACATAAGTCATCTCTAACTTCAAGAGGATATCTTCGAAAAACACAGTTATCATTTTTTTTATCACTTAAAGACATTTTCTACTATTAAAAGAGATATAAATAATTTTGTATTAACTTTATATAAAATTTGTTAAATATATTTAAAAATACTCCAAGAATGAATTTTGTTGCAATGCTGCAGATGTGGTATTAATAGTGAATGATTAAATGCATGTATTAACAAAATATCTGTAAGACATGATATTGCAAATAAAAAATCAGAAATCCTTAATGATAAACATAGAACAGTATAATTTATAGAAAATATTTTTAATAACCCACATCTAGCAGCACAAATCACTGGACCTAGAAATGCACATTATTGTCCAACTTTGAATCACCATCATTTTGTATTTCATATCCTGAGTAAACTTCAAAATGAAATAAAAGATGACATTACACATGAAGTACTTTAGCTCTGGATCCCATTATGAAACTGCCTAAACATATAACCCTGAAGCAAGAATAGTTATTACAGATTTAAGTGATCATCACTTCTCTTTTCAAATTGTGAAATGAAATGTCCTGTAAGAAGCAGCAAATCCTAAATGTTGGACTATTCTAGCTGATTAGCAAATAATCATGCCCTGGCATTTTGCCAAATTCACAAGTGTTCCATTGCTAATGTATTTTATATATGATGTACAGATTATTTAGAGGTACTCTTATTATCCTTTCCTTTCAAACAGGCCTTGAGATACTTGTTATGACAACAATACATATTTGGTAAATGCAGGATAAAGTCTTTTGAACATCTAACCAGGTTAAAAAGCTCAGCCAAAAAATTAGTACGAAACAGTATTTGGGAAATTTGACTCCAAAAGAGAAACTGAAAAGATCAAGTCAAACAAATGAGATCCAAATGGCGAGTTAGAATAGCAGATACAGAGAAACAATTTTTGGACCGTGAGCAGTTCAACAGTTTAATATTTACATGGGATTCTAGAAATTAATTGGCGAACTAAAGCAAACTAGAGCTGGGGGTAGAAATGACCAATTTACTAACTTAAGCACTGCTTTTTGGCAAGTGAATGAAACTTTTTTGGTGACTTTCTTCAGGAGGAAATTAAAAACAGATTATGGACTTGAAGCACAAAAAGTATATAGATTGGATATATACAAACATTGCATATGGCAGCAGTACTCATCAAAATAGTTCTAGATTTTGACTAATTTTTGTTTATTGAAATATTGCAAAGATACAAAAATTGGGAAAAATGTATTTTGTTAACAAATTTCTCTTAAAGTTTAAATTGAATTTCATTTCCCTTCAAGTTTACTATTTTTACCATTGAAAGTATAGAAAAGTATATGGTTATAATTTGATATTATGCAATTTTCAATGAAAACAACTTGATAAAATCAATTCAATCACCCTAGCTGATAATGGGTCTACAGTACATATAAATATTTTTTCCAAACTTTTGTGAATTTCCTTTTTCTAGCCTCTACACTAACATTTGTAGGTGTGCCAAAAAGCATTAAGCCACAGCACATCCCTGATAAATTTCACTAGTCCATCCTCTCTAAAATAAATGAAATTCAGTCTCCATTTATTCACATGAAGCAATACTACAACATGCTTCGAGTAACTTTTAGGTGTTATGTCAATTAGAAAGCTTAGGATCACTGATTACATAACTAGATGTTACTAATTATAAAACCTTCCAGTGATAATTAATAATCTATTAAAATCAATGACAAAATGTTAAAATGAGTCAGTTATCTCAGCAACTCGAGTATTTTAGATAAATTCTCTCATTATAGTTTTCATTCCCAGTCTAAAATGACTAAAAATAATCTTGTAGAAATGTAATATGTTGTGTTTGCAAATTAAAAATGAAGTAGATAAATCAATCAAATATATGAGTAGCTTAATGCCCTGGTTATTAAACTCTGTTTGAAATATTCAGATATATAGGATACTTTTCAAAAATATATATATTTATATAAGCTTTAAATTTAATTTTCTGTATATACATGCAAATTTCTATTTGTTAATTTGATTCATATAAGTCAATATAGTTTTGGCTTAATCATGAAGCCTATGCTTGCATTTACTTTTCACTTATCTGTAATTTCTCTCAGCCAGTCCACAGGCAACAGCTTCTTTATGTGGGTAAAGTCCTTTAAAACTATATAATTAAAAAAATTTAAAAATGATTTAGCAATAACAAAACAGAATCAATGCTTGTATAAGCAGATATTCTATGATACTGGCAGAAAGGCAACCTTGACTCTGCCAAAGAAAAATTGCACAGAACCAACATAATTGTTTAGATAGGAAAGACTTTATTCAAGACTACTGCAACAGGGGAGAGAGATTAAATTCACATCCTTTGAAACAAAGGGCAAGAGAGTTTTAAGCACTGGGTTGAGCTAGTGGAAATATACTGGAGGACACTGGAGGAAGGTTGATTAGTATAATTAAGCATTCTGTGCTTGCTAGTTAACATTTATTGAAGTTAGGCTTTTACCCTCCCACAGACACCATGGGGATAGGTTTCCTGTATTTCTTTATAATTTTATATCAAAGAGATGCTCTGAGTTCTTTGAGAAAGACATTTCTTTTTTTTTTTTTAGAGACAGGGTCTTGCTATGTTGCCCAGGCTGGAGTGCAGTGTCTGTTCACATGTGCGATCCCACTACTGATCAGCACCAGAGTTTTGACCTGCTCGGTTTCTGACCTGGGCCGGTTCACCCCTCCTTAGGCAACCTGGTGGTCCCCTGCTCCCAGGAGGTCACCATATTGATGCCGAACGTAGTGCAGACACCCGATCGGCATAATGCACTACAGCTCAGAACTCCTGGACTCAAGAGATCCTCTAGCCTCAGCCTCCCGAATAGCTGGGATTACAGAGAAAGACATTTCTATGTTGTCAAAATGGCAAGAAGATTTATAGCTCAAAGAAGCAGGGAAACAATATAAAGCTGTAATTTTTCTAAATTAAATGCTCTAGAAAATGAGGTCAAGAATCTATAGCCAGGAAATCTGTTTAAAGTTTAGTTAAGCTGAAGAGAATAGCAAGGCTTTCTCTGTCAACTCTGAATATTTCATAACCCTTTGGGACTTAATATTTGAGTTTCTCTCTAACAATAGAAGAGAGCAAATTTATTCCCTGGATGTGAACCAGCAAATTGCTGGAATTTACAAGCTTTATGTATAAGTTTTATATATTTTTTGACAATCACATAAGTGTAGAGAGCCAGAGTAGCCAACCCACCCCCTCTGAGGGGATCAGCAGCAAGGCTGTTGTGAACTTTGGGTGAACTCCAGAGAAGTGAAACCGTAATAGGAGGATGTGTATGTTTTGGGGTGAAGCAGACAAGCCTAGAAAGAGATAACCAGCTTTCACTGACCTCACTGCAAGATAGTTTCTTAGCTAAAGTATGTTAACTGAAATGTGAGAATAATATTCACAGGCTGTTCTAAGTAACTGCACCCTCCCTTTGCTATGTGATTTGTGAACATATAAAATAAAGTACTCTGAGACAGGTCGGGGCTGGAGAGACTGATATCCTTCACCTCCCGGACTGCCTGGCCCAGCTTTTCTCAATGTGTATGTTTGTGTCTTTATACCCCACCATTCCCTCTTAGGTCTTTGAACCCTTATGCAGCATGGGACGCAGCATGCAGCAGACATAAGCATACAGGATTTCTGGGAGAAGAAAGCCAACCTAATAAATTAACTACTATTTCAGAATGAGTCATGAGGCAAAAATTAACCAGAAAACATACATATACCAAGCAAGGGCTTTTTCCTCTCTGTTTCCCATTGCTCCCAAGATTGGTACACATGATAAAAAAAAATTAGCATTTTCAGAAATAATATTAGGAGATCCAAGATGGCCATTTAGGAACAGCTCAGGATTGCAGCTCCCAGTGAAAGTGCAGAGGGTGAGTGGACGCTGCATTTTTAGTGCCCACAGACTAGGAAATTCCCAGGCGGAGGAGCTCCACAGGTCACCAGCACGGCTGTTTCGGCCAGCGCGGCTGTGCCAGCCGGCGCAGCTGCTTTGCCCCACACGGCTGCTTTGTCGGCGCCCCAGAGCAGCGGTTCGCCGTACAAAATACACCAGTCCGGGTGCCCTTTTGGCTGGCAATTGGAGCCACGGGAAGTCACCCATTCGTCTGTTTAAAAAAGGGAACTGAGCAGAGAACCAGGACAGTAGATTCCAGGGCAAAAAAAAAAAAAAAAAAAAAAAAATGCCACAAACCTCAGTGCCACTGTTTAAGCCAGCGCAGTGAGTGGCCACAGGGGAAAACAAACAGACCCCGGCGCCTCTTCAACAGGTGACTGGAACACCAACTTAAAAAAGGCTCTGAGGCAGGAAGCCAGGCGATCAGGCTCGGCTGGTCCCACCCCCACAAAAGAACAGCAATCATAAACTCTCTGGATTGAGAGTTTCACAGCAAGTGCAGATGAACCCGGGACAGTCCAGCTCTGAGAGGGATGGGTGTCTGCCATTACCGAGGCAGCCTGCCAATACGGAGGTAGTCATCCAATGCTGAGGCAGCCCGCTGTTGCCAAGGCAACCCGCCATTGCTGAGGCAGCCCGCCATTGCCAAGGCAACCCGACACTACAGAGAGACTCCGCCTTAAAAGAGGCAGGCCACCCTTGCCAAGGGAGTTCTAACTACAC